TTCAAGTCTATCTTAAAGTTTATATAAAAATTTATTTATTTCGAAACATGATTAGAAAAATCTTATCTCTAAATTTTTATGCTTGAGAAGATATATAGTTTATTTTTAAATACGGATATATTTTTTTAAAAAAATAGAGAAAAAATATTTAAAAAACAAGATATTATTATAGATGGAGTGAATAAAAAGGATTAGTTTTATATGAAAATAAAGATAACCTATTCATAATGTAAAAAAAAAAATAAAGAGTTACTCAAAATACCAAGAGGAAAAGGAAAAAACAAAAAGATATTTTTAGCACTAAAATAGAAAGGCAAGACTAATTTAATAAAGAAAAAAAAAATATAGGTTTAACTATTTCTTAGATATAGAAAATATTTATATGCTTACTATCCAAATTCTAATTTCCTAAATTATTTATAAATTTAGGTCTAATGTTGTTTAATATAACAACTCTCTGAATCATTATAAGAATACAAATCCAAAACATAAACATTCTCATTGATCTTCTACAAGATTCTGTATTAGACCATACTTCTCTACTTTCAGTTTCTCACAGGTTTTGAAAAGGAAAAACTTATTTTCATAAGAAAACCATGAACAAATCCTCTTTTTCAGACTTCTTTTGTCTTTAAGTGTTTATCAGTTATTGCTCTGAACTGATTGAATTTGTTGCCGCCGTGTTATTAGTTGCTAGAAGGGAAGGTATGAATTAGCGATGTATTTCATACAAAATTTAAATTTATTACAGACATATCCAGATTTTTCTTCATCAAAACTAATTTAAAAAATATCTAAGGTAACAAGACTGAGCATCAGGGCTAACAACAAGACAGAGAAGAGAGGAAGCTTCCTCCTTTTTTTTTTTTGTTCTTTTTCCTCTGCATAAAAGAAAATAAGACCACCTCATGGAGACTTTGTACCTTATCCACTCAACAATAAATGGATTAAACTTTGATAGCTCCCATATGAGATGCCTGCAATCTCCTCACACCCTTGGATTGGGAATTCCTTTTCAATATAAGGAGACAATACCACTAAACTCCGAGAAAAGAACTGGAAGTCGCTTAGACTTCTCAGTTTAGCGAGTACAGATTGCTGAACATGTTTGGGATGATGAACCAGAAGACCCATGGCCATTAACCTTGTGACCAGCGTTAGTTTTTGACATCCTTAAGTGACGAGAAGCTCTAATAACAGGTTAATTATATGCCTAATTTTGCTGTCCATGTTCCAAACCTACACTTTCCTGCTAGATACTTGCGAACTGTAAAGAGATGAGTGATCATGACTCGTCACCCTTGACCAACTCAAGAAAACCTGCAAGAGCTTCATCGTTAGCGTTTGAGCTTAAGACGCATCCTCCATTACCATGTACCAAATCCCAGGAATAATCTCAAGGCCACTTCAATAATCAGAGGTATAATAACTTCTTCAGACAACAAACATTTCTTCATCCAGTCTAGGCACTGTAACATCTTCCCTTATCACCCCAGCATAATCATCACTGACATGAGCCCCTGCCTGAGCAAACAGTTCCACAACTGCAGGCAACATCCCATAGTACATCTTTAAATCATTTAACAACGGCCTGTCACTGTCAAGGTCTTGAACATGCCACACATATACAGGAGGAATCAAATCATCAACTGTTGCCTCCTGCCATGCATGTTGCCCATCCCTCATCTGGTGCTTGTAAGCTTGGCAATTCCTGACTCTGTGTCCCTTAGGCCCCACTTGTACATCTGGGCAGTATCCACAAGTCTGAACAGCATATTTCTGCATAAGTTTGGAAGCTCCTGACCTTAACCTCTCCCATGCATCCATTCCTCGAGCAGCAGTTTCTATGGAAGAAACCAGTGAGCTTAGAATTTTGATCCACATACCAAACAACCTTGTCAAGCTTCTAGAGATTGAATGTAGAAAAATGAGGTAACTTCATATGAGAGATCTTAGTGACCATCAACCAAGAAGATAAGTTAATTGGATAAAAAAGGTCTTGGAAATTATAACAGAAAGTAAAATAAGATATATAATCCAGATACCAAAACATTTTTTGGTAATGTAAGGCAGACATAAAAAGTAACAATTATGGATAAGAAAGAAACAACAAGATTCAGACAAAACAAACCTTCTATATCATCATTATGAGAATCGTTAGAACTAAAATTTTCACTTGACTTCTCTTGCTTATGCCAAAATCCAAATGTACTTATGTCTTTGTCAGGTGCATCTATTTTTGGAAACCTTCGCTCAAAATCTATAATCCGACCAGCAATACAATAAGCAGGGAATGCCCTTCTCCTAGTTGGGTATTCAGGGATGTCAAAACCTGCTTGAACACACAACTCTACAATTGCAGGTACTCGATCTACATGGAGTCGTTCATTGTGAGAAACAGCTCTTCCTAACCGGTCATATAGATGAAAAGATTCCACAACAGGCAAAACATGTTCCAAATCTCCTTTTTTCCAACTGTGCTCTTTGCTTGTCAGGCTGCCAGCAACATTGCACGTCTGGATCTTATGTGGTGGATAACCAATATGAACTTCACTGCAGATGCTGCATGCAATAAATCAATTATGTAAAACATGTTATTTTAGATCCATGAAATTTGACCAGCACCCCAGAAATTTTCCTTAAAATTTGCTCTTTTTTAGATAATCTAGCTATATTTCTAATTTCAAATTTTGATTTTTCATCCAAGTGATCTCATGGGAATTTAACATTTCACATTTGGAGTCAATGGGGAAAATCATTGATGCTTTGTGTACCTTTGGTCCAATTACTTGTCCAGAGAACACTTTTTTGATAACAAGCATGTATCTTCAGCATCAAAATTGAAGTTTCGACTTCTGTAGACTCTACCGTCATTGATAAATGATATGAATATTTTCTGAAAGTTGTTTCTCCACTGTACTGATTTCGATTTTCTTGTCCCATAGTATTCCCACATATGCTACTCTACAATCAAATATGTTTTCCAATCTTTGAACTGTAATGCTTTTGCAGTACCCTAGTCTTAATCTAAGCTCCAGACCTATTGAATGTCCCTACATAATCAAGCAAACATGTCATAATCTCCAAGGAATTTGCATGAGCATCAAAATTCCTCCTGGTCCTGGAAAATTCGGAAAAGCTGGAAAGCATTGATGATATTGGTCGACAGAGGTGGTCCTCCACTAAAAACAGGAGCCTCAATGTCATAAAATAGCTCAATATTCGATAGGAGGATAATTAAAATCCTTGTGGACAAATACACTTTTGGTAGTGAACTACATGGAGGAATCTACTTTGCCCTTACCTCCACTCCTTAAGGTATTATATAATGATCATGCCCCGAATAAGAAACTTCAAAGCTATATCATGACTCTGCTACCAGAGACCTTCCTATAGTTTATCAGCCAGAGTAGAGTCTTTAAAACATAATTACTCTTAAATCAAAGTAGAAAAATATCAGCACCATTACTCGTAAACCAATATCTTCACATTACGCTAGCAATATAAGATGTTAGAGCAACATGTATCTAGATCATCATCTCCATAATAACCATATTTATCTTAATTAGATGTATATATGTGCAAACAATGAGAAACAACTCAGGGTGGCATTACCATTGAAACTAATAGTATAAATCTTAATCATTAAACAAAGTGACACGAATAATAATTAACAATCTTTTCTTTCTTGTATATTTCCTATATAAACATCACTCCCCATTCAAATGTGATACTTATGATTCCACCAACCAACAAACAAACGCAGAGCTCTATAACTCTGCTTCATTTTCTCCAAAGGCCATATCTTTTTTCTTTTGAAATAAAACTTCAAAGGCGATATCTTAAGGATCATCAAGAATTTTCTTAGAGAAAAAAAAATGGTGCAATCATTATTCTTCTCTTTCTCTTTTAAAAAATTAGTTCACTATGACAACCTTGCTCATAAAGTCGATAACTTCAAGTTTGATTATATAAGGAAGTTCTTTTACCTGCATACATATACTGCAATTCTCCTGACAACTCTTGAAACACAAGCGAGTAGTTCAGACCTGGCAGCATACACTTCATGAGCTACTGGAATTAATTCCTTGACCAACAATCCATTTTCAGGAGGTCGTAGAATCTTCTCATGCACCATCTGCTTCTCTTTTCTCTCCTGCCTAGCTCTGCGTTTGAGCTCACTGATGCTCGTGACCCATGGCTTGCGCTCAGACTTCTTACGCTTCATTGGAAGGTCCGCGTAATTCGACCCAGTAGAGAACAAGCAATGGGCATGCTTCCATCTGCTTAAAAATACAGAGGTTGCAGTACAGTTCTGTCTCGACAACACTGCTGCTGACAAGAACTTGCTCATGTACACTGGCATTATATCATTCCATGAAAATTATCCTGCGAAAAGGCCAAAAGTTGCGTCTAGGGATATTGAATCAGTTGGGTGAAGAAACAAAGAAGGAAAAAGTGAAATTCGGGGAAGAAACACTGTTTTATTCGATGGAGCATTTGACAACAGTTTGTAGCAGAAACATAAAATAAAAAGAGAGCACATCAAGCACGTTTCTATGACATCATATATATATAGTATATGTATATATATATATAATACGATGAAGTGGGTACTCTGGATAAAGTGGATGAACACAGAAACAGAAGAAGATTGAGAAGAAGACGTATACAACGTTTCCGCTAGGATGGCGGCTTCTTTAAAACCCGTCTTTCGTGAGGGTTCCTCATTATATAAATATATATAGCCCAAACCAGCAAAAGAGGTGGACGTTGTTTATTTTGATAACACAAAAAGAAACTCGAGAGCATGACAGCTGTATGTTGCCTCCAAACACTCTTCTTTCACTATTCCATCTTTGAGGGTCTGATCAGGAACGATAATGCCTTCCAAGCTACCCTCATCCGTGTTGCTGCCATACCTCATGGTCCTCTCTATTCTCCTCCTCTTCCTCTATTCCTTTCTCCTCTTTCCTCTCCATAAACCCGAAAAAACATCCTCCCCACAACAATCTGCTTGCAATCTATTCGCTGGCCGCTGGATTCTCGACCCTCAGAATCCGCAACCCTTATACAATGAGACATGTCCTTTCCACAGAAACGCTTGGAATTGCGTCAGAAACAAGAGGGAAAACATGGGTCTCATCAATTCCTGGAAATGGGTTCCACATGGCTGCCGCTTGCCGCGGATCGATCCGGGTCGGTTTCTGGATCTGGTGAGGAATAAGAATATTGGGTTCGTTGGGGATTCTTTGAATGAGAACTTTCTTGTTTCGTTTCTGTGTATTCTTAGAGCAGCTGATTTGGGTGCCAAGAAGTGGAAGAAGAAGGGTGCTTGGAAAGGAGCTTATTTTCCCAAATTCAATGTCACAGTTGCATATCATAGGGCGGTTCTGCTCGCCAAATATGAGTAAGATTTTGATTCTATACATTTCTTGATTAGTTTGAGGGTACGTTTGAAAAAAAGTTTAGAAATTTTGTAGAATTCATTTGCAAATTCAAAACTTGCTTCAGCTGGAAGATGAAATGGGTATGTTTGGAAAAACTTCAGAAATTTTGTAGAATTCATTTGCAAATACAAAACTTGCTTCAACTGTGAAAGATGAAATGTATGGATTGTTTGGATTAGTTAATAACTGTGTTGAGATCTTCCTGATGAGATATTTGAAGATGGTAATCTTCATGCTAGAAGATAGATGCTTTGGAGGTCAGAAGTAAGTCGAACATGGTCAAGAGAGTCAACTGTTTGAATGTGAATCAGCTTGTTCCAGACACTATTGCTTCTTGTCAAGTGAACTACTGTTTTATTCTTCCCCCCCAACCCAAACACAGAACAATGGATCATGAAAATTTCTACTGCATTTGGCTTATCGATCTTCTTGTTGTTGGACATGTTTTAGCTGTAGTTTTGCTTTTGTGTGTTTTGGAATGTGAACCTCATGTGCTTATAACTGATTAAATAAAGGTGGCAGCCTGAAAAGCCCTCTGCACTTCCTGATCAAGATGGGTTGAAAGGAATATATCGAGTAGATGTGGATGTTCCTGCGGATGATTGGATCAACATCACCAACTTCTATGATGTCCTTGTCTTCAACACTGGCCATTGGTAAATACCTTCTCCTGATGCTACTTCATAGAATAGTGATGAAATAACCTCCATTAGTTAGTTTGTCTTGCACTGACATCACACCTGCTTTGTTTTGTATTTGAGAAAGTTGATTGTTAAAATGCAGAATGCGCTTTTTCGCGACAATGATGAGTTTTCTTGGCACCAAAACAAAGGTGTAAATATTACTGTTTTTCTGAGAGACACATTCTTGCTTTGTGCTCTCTCTGGAATAAAATGTCAGGAACCTTTGTTGTGTGAATAGCAGCAGTAAGAATAGAAATCAAAGATTGAGAGATATAACTAAGAAGGGAAGAGCTTAATGGATGAAGAGAAGGAAGGGAATAAGATAATTTCTGATGCTCAATGACTATGGCTGAGTGAATTCTTTAGATTTTCCAGAATGAATAAAATTCAGCAGTATGTGGCCTTATCTAGCTTTCTTCTCCTTCAATAACAAGAAATTTCAGTAACAGAAAAGAAACAGAAAGAATTGTATGCAAAAATAATAGATGCAGGAACCAACAAATACTTCAAATAATCCAGAGCGAAACAATTACTAATACTAAAATTATTCAATGTTATGGCAACTTGACAGCTGAACCGACACGTCCTCCTCCTGCAGCCCTCTAATCCTTAGTGAGTTGCAATCAGGTCCTAACATAAGAGTGCCTCAAACAGGGAGGAGACACACTTTTTGCTGTTCATATATTTCTATTTTGTTACATGCTCTATGTTTTCAGTTAGAAATTCCTGACATTGTGTGCTCTCCTTGGCCTGTATATTTAAAGCTATAGGAAAAAGTTTGATGGTATAAAATTTTATTTTGATTAGGTGGGGTTATGATAAATTCCCCAAAGAGACACCTCCTGTATTTTATCGTGCGGGACAAGTAATAGAGCCCCCTCTTCGGATTCAGGAAGGGCTCAAAGTTGTTCTTGAACATATGGTTGCCTACATACAAAGAGAAGTGCCTAGAAAAGCTGTGAAGTTCTGGCGCTTACAATCACCAAGACATTTTTATGGTGGTGAATGGAATCAAAATGGTAGTTGCTTGTTCAACAGGCCCCTCGAGGAATCTCAGGTAAATTGATTATTACTTCTCACTCCAAGATTATGGTATTAATTTGGACCTGGCTTACATCAAAGTCAAATCTAACATTCTGTTTTTAACTTTATTGCATTGCTGCCTAAAACATTAGAAGAACATGGTTTAAAATCTGAGTTAAGTAATGTACATATGTGAACTGAATAAAAACTTTAGATTTGTTATTTTCTGAATTGTGATACAATTCTTTCCTGGAGGATTTTGCTAATGCCTAGACAGCTTGACTCTTGGTTTGATCCCAGCAACAATGGAGTAAACAAGGAAGCAAGACAACTTAATTATCTTATTCGAAAGGCATTACAAGGCACAGATATTAAGTTGCTTGATCTGAGTCACTTGAGTGAGTTTAGAGCAGATGCCCATCCAGCTATTTGGTTGGGAAAGAAGGATGCTGTGGCAGTCTGGGGTCAAGATTGTATGCATTGGTGCCTACCTGGTGTTCCAGACACATGGGTTGATATATTATCAGAATTAATCCTAAATACCTTTTGGTACGAGGTGAAGAATTACACGAAGAATACTACAATATAGCATTCGATTTGAAAATACTTACGAAGTTGAGAGGAAAATCCCTATTGCATTTTCTAACACGTACAGATGATCTGAAATGTGGAGTTTTGATTATCAACCATACAAACGCGGTGCCTCGCCTTGCTTCTCTGGAAAAAGTTGTAGCCTTAAAAGTGGACAAAAGTATTGGTAGCCTTTTTCCCTCGAAAAGGAGAAGGAGCTGATGGCAGAAATTTAGCCAATTGTAACAGGTATATGTAGATTCCTTTTTTTACTGAAAGTGATAAGAAATTGATGAGGATGAGTGAAGTATTCTGAGGAAGAGTTGTTTTACCTCATTCATGTTGCATTCATTCTTTTTGTAAAGAAGTGAGATTTGAACTTGAAGCAATCTTTCAATTACCACAATTCAGGCACTTTGATTGATGTTGATCTAATTTGGCTGCCACCTTCCTTTTAGAACTTACAAAAATTTTAATTTTAATTCAGAATTAAAGATAAACTTTTACAAGTGAAAAGAAAGTTAATTAATTTATTTAAGTTATTTAAATAACAAAGGAAGAAATAAACTTAAATGATTTTGAGATTAAGAAATATATGTATATATATATCTATATATACACACACACACACATGATTTTAGCACAAATAAAACTTGCATCTTGTTTTCTTTACAGAAATGTAAAAATAATAAAAATATTATATATAAACAAATTTGTGCAAAAGTATTTTGTTAACATAATTAGGACTTCTATGGTTGATAATCATATTATTTATTTACGTTTTATATTTCTTAACAAAGAATAATTTTTTTTTTTTTTTAAATCTTCTCCAAACGGATAATTTAGCAAAATTTTATGGAAACACGTTTCCGCCAATCTGCAAAAAGAGACAGAGGGCTCTGGAAGAACCTCACTCCGTCACAATTGCCCACGTACGAGTGAAGTCAAAGATCAAAATCCATTCATCTAAAAAGTTAAAACACCCACAAACCCTCCACTGAAATCTGTCAAAACCCTAATCAAGATCAATACGGCCTCAGATAAAACCTTAAACATGGCTCTAAGAATCAATCTTTTTCCCTCAAATACCCTCCCCCAAACCCCAAAGTTGTACGCCTATCCCACTCCCACCATCGCCAGACCTAAATCCCAGATCCAATGCGGCACCAACAACATCGACATCAGCGATGCAGAACTGGCCTCAGATTTGGCGACGGAGGTGGCAAAGCTAAACTCCCATTTGGTCCAGAAAGAAGAAGCTATGAAGAAGAGCAAAGAGCTGTTGTTCGACCAGTTTTGCCAGTTTCTGGATTTGAAAGAAGAGGAGGTGAAGAATAAATGGAGAACAAAGATGAGTGAAGAAGAGAAATGGGTTGTGGTTAATGGATTTGTTAGCGAGTGGAGTGTGAATTTCCATCCGTTGTCTGCAAGGTCTGTTAGAGCAATGATTGAGGAGTATTTACATGAAGGGAAGGCGTCGCCGCAGCCTTCTCCTTCGATTTTGTTTCGTGGTTTGAGGAGAATAATGGGGTTTTCACAGAACAAGTGAATAGAAGAGATTGGGAATGTTGGGGCATATTTAGAAAGTTTTTCAATTGGGATTTCAGATGTAGGGTTTTGAATTTCAGTTGTTCATTTAATTGATTATTATTAGTTTATTAATTACTTCTTAAAACTGGTTTGTAAGATTAGTTAGTGAAATTCTTATTATTTGCGAAATAATCTTTTTTTTTTTTTTTTGTGTTGGGATTTTTTTTGAACAAAGTCAAGATATTTTTTAGTAGAAATTATTTGAAAATTTAATTAGAAAAATTATAATTCATTTTGTTCAATTAAAGTCATGACAATATTTTAATCAATAATTAAAAAATTATACAAAATACAAAAATTACTGATGTATAATTTTATTTTATTATACGAAAATTTTGTGGTTTTTATTATTGTCTTTCTAAAAAACTCCTATAAATAACATATATGAAGTCAGATTGGATCATGTTTTTATGCAAGAAAATATTTAATGATAAATAAAATTAATTACAATTTTAAAATAAATCCTGTTTGGAATTGCATAAAAGATTTCCCACTTACATGGTATTAGCACATACAAGACAAGTTTCTTGGTAAGAATGTATCATTAACAAGTTGACTAGGAATTTTAGTAGCTAATTTGGTTTTTGAAAGTGAAAAGAAAAGAAATAATGTATAAAGAATTTCTATATACAATAGCAACAAACAAATGTTTTAATTTCAACAATCACCTATATAAATCACCACCCTCACACCTCTATCAAACAACAGTGGCATTCAGTCCACAAGGAGGGCCTCGGAGAAGCGGATCAGAAGAATAACTGCCTGCATTGTGCAACTGATGCCTCAGCTGGACAGTATGGACACTTGAAAGTCCGAGCACTACTTCTTGAAAGTTTCATGATAGATTGCTTGCAGAGAACATGCAGACAAGGCATCAACATTGGTGGGTTTTCTTCGCTACTTTGATCTCTACTCACGGGACAAACAAATATTGAGTGGAATTGAAACTCCTTCCCCAATTCCACAGGGACTGGCAATTGTTTCATTGCCTGCCACTCCTGCTTCTTTGCTGCCATTACATTTGCCAGTTTTAGCAGTGTAGGCAACCCTTCAATGCCAGCTGCTACAGCCACACTCAGTGGGCTCTCGTACGACTGACCCATTAGACTGCAAAACTGCTGGGTCACCTCTTCAGTCAATCTCTCCCAATGGGATGGAGACGTCAATTCTGCATATGGGGAGTTGTCAAGCCTTCCTGCCCACAAAAGGGAAGCCATAAGCTTCTGGATCTCATCCAAGTGAAGAGAAGCAAAAGGTGCAAGATAAGTTCTAGCATAGCTGAGTGCATCATCACGATTTCCATTCTTTAAAATCTCCACGTATTGTAGACGGTGGAGCTTCAATTCAAGATTTGAACCATTCTGCTTAAGCTTTTCACGATTGGCAGAGACCCAGTTCAGAGCAGGCTTCAGGTTTCTAACTTTCATAGCCTCCAGTATTTGATGCATTTCCAAGAACTGAGATTTCACTTCAGTGGCCTCTGGTTCCCCGGCCTCATTTATTAAGCAATCTCCAAGGTCAAACAAGCCTTGCCTGTAAAAATGGCTTGCAATGATCTGATTCACTACGTGGAAATCAAAATCAACATTTCTATATGCCTTGGATATATCAGGGTTGAAAGACTTCTCAAGAACCTTCGGGTACTTGCTAATGCTTATATTTACTTCCTTCTGTGAACTTTCTAGCTGGTGGAGTGGACCAAGGGCATTGAGCTTGAGTTTTAGTTCAACAAGGAGGGATTTCAAATCTACAGGAGATAGGAGTTCATTAGCTGAATGGATTTTAGCCAATGTCTGCTCAATCTCATGGCCAACTTGATCAATTACTTCTTGGGATTTAGAGAATGACAATTTCTGCTTCTTAGCAACACGATCAAATGCATCTTTAACCGTGTTCAGTTCCATCTGATATTAGTTGGGTGAGATCCTGCAATAAAGATACAAGGACATCATTACCCTCATCCACAGAACTCATCCAGTAAGAAATAAAATCAAATTTCTAGATTGGAGGATATTAAAGACAAAAAATTAACACCGTGTGGAACTTTTGGACAAAATATAACTTCCCTTCTCCCTAAGAAATCTGATTAGATACAGAGACTCATCTATAACTTTTTTGAAAACCGAGAGAAACAGTGGCTTTATCGCGTATCTATGTTTTTGTCTTTTTTGAAATATAAAATGTGAGAAAAACATTAGTATAGACACCAAAAAGGTAGTACCCATTTATAATATTTACAAGTCTGTTAATATATCAACAAGTTCCGCTAAATCCTTCATAAAAACTGAAGGATGATCCCGTAACAAAAAACTAAAGGTCTGTAACCATCTATTCTTTAGAATATCAAAACCATTAACATTTTCAACCTCCTCAAAAGTTCTCAGACTCTCTCCTACCAAACAACCCAAAAGATAGAGAACAGTATTAAGTCCATTTGTTTCTGTCGATACCCTTCCACGCTCAAATTTCCTCTCACCGATCCTGCCATCACCCAACTAATGCCGAACGGCCCATAAACCAAAGTGCACAGCTTGTATACCTTCGGACACCAAAATAAAACATGCTTACAAGTCTCCTCATCCCTCTTACAGAGAAAGCAATCATTGACCAATATCTTTCCCTCTTTCTTCAAGTTGTCAATGGTCAAAAAATTCCCTACTAGCCACCTATGCAAAAAAGGAAATTCGGGAAGGGACAATATTCTTCCAGATCTGCCTGATAGGGAAAAGTATACCATCATCACCATACTTGTACAGCTTCTTGTAGAGGGATTTAACTGAAAAAGACCCACTGAATATAAGTATCTATGTTTATAGGTGAAAGTTCTGCTTCATCCAAGTAGTTAAAACAAAATACATGTTTTAAGAAACTCCTAGAGTCCAAAGAAGCAAAGCGAGATAGCTCGACAAAAGGAGCTTTTACTGCCACACCACTGGTCCTCCTGAAAATCCCATAGTTAATTGAACCTCAAGTTCAGCTCAACTAAGGTACCATATAAAACCCCTATCAAGCCAAATCAACTAGACTTGCCTTCTATCCTATTTAAATCAGCTTATGATTTAAGCTGTGCTAAAGTTTGATGTCGACTACAGTTCCAACTTTCAAAGAGTTGGCATACCACAGGTGAGAAAAAACAGATATTGGATTTCAACCACGGTGGCGCTCCTTATGATCAACTGGATCAGGACTATGTAGTAGGTATTAGTATTAATTTATATAATGGTAAAAAAAAAAGAAAGGTAAGAGGAAACAAAGGGAGAAAATGGCAAAGAAACAAAATGTAAAATTAAGGAAGTTTTCTCCAATGACAATTCAGTGTCTGCACATAACTTTTAAGATTTATTAGAACAATGCAAGGACCTAGTCCAAGGGACGCTCATGTCAAAATGTTCATAACTGAACAATCAACCAGACACAGGTTACTCCCTTTGTTGTTAAATTAAGCTTGTCTTGAAATTAATATAGTGTAAGTACACTTAGACACATCTTAGTTCATAGTGGCACGCTATTAATTCAACTAAAACTTAAGTAAACTCATCAGCCAAATACCAAACTGGTAAGACCCATATGATAGTGAGAGTAAATGAAGTGAGTGGTATACCAATATATATGACCTTCCTTGAATAGAACCATTTATTGCCTAACTAGTATTTGGATTTCCTATTTGTATCAAATCTACTAGACTACTTAGGATTATTATTATTTTAGTAACTTTAGGGTTTTATTCTTATTAGTATTTAGATTTCCTATTAGTATTAGCAAATATTATTTCCTAAGTATTAGTATTTCTTAACTTAGCTCTATTTGGAAAAGATTACTTAGGAAACATCATAAATATCATTGTAGTTTACCTTTTGTTAGTTTTTCAATTTTCTTGTCATGTGATACAGCTAAACTTTTAATGCGGTGTTTAACGCTTCTTAGAGATGTTGTTGTGGTGTCCATTGGCGTACAAGTTATAGACCATGATGTATGGACTATAAGGAATCAGTTGGGTTATGGCAGATAATTTAAGAGATAAGATTTAGGAGTGGAAGGATATTAGTGGTGGAAAAAAGCATGTCGGTCTCATTCCCCTAGCTAGTTTTTGAGTTATGTGGAAAGAAAGAAATAGAAGAACTTTTTTTTTTCGGGGGGGAAGGGGGGGAGGGGGGTGAAAGCTAACTTCGATAGGGTTAGGAATAGATGGTTCCAAACTGTGAGCTTATTAATTACGTAACATTCTTTCCAAACTATGGAAGATTTTGGGAATCTTATAAGTATCCTGATTAAATTGTAAATAATTTTATACATGGGTTAGCACCTCTTTGGTGCTTGTAATTAATAATAGATACTATACTTTTATTTAAAAAAAAACACTTCTTAGATATGATGTCCAAGAAATCTAAGATGTGATGTCTAGGTT